AAAACCCTTATGAACAAGAAGAAGAGAAGTAAAAGGGTAGGGATGATTCTCACAAGCGCAAGAGAAAGGCCAGGAGAGTTAAACATGGATTTGGCCAACGTAGGACTGGCTAAACGAGGCTGCGAGATTGCACCAGAGGGCATTATATCGTTGCTGTGGTTGGAACCGTTGCTGTAAGGAATATCTGATACGATCCTACCCCCTCCACCACTTTGTTTGACCTCAAGAAACCCCCCAAAACTCATCAAAGTAGCCACTTTTGCTTTTCTTTTTCTCTTTCTCTTCTTCCTTTCGTCAATCAAACAAGCACACCCCCCACAGAAACTGCTACTACTCAAAGCCCCTCTGAAAAACTCAAGCTGCCACTAATGACTCAGCCTTGTCGCAGAAACTTTTAATCCTCGCGTCGATTGATTCGTCCAACCCCAGAATTTCCCAGCCATGTAGCACCACAAAAGATGAAATGGGTCTCTCAGAATCTGCCTTATATACCTGAGAGCGCAATCAAAAAAGAACCTTTTGAAACCAGGGAAAATATAAATAAATAATAATACAGAGAGAGAAAGATAAGTAGACAAAAGGATAAAGCCCAAAACATAAACAAATAAATGCTGTCTTTATTTTTATTTTGTTTCACACTCTTATTATTATTTAGAAAGTTAAAAAAAAAATATATTATTACCAGTTACTCATCAGTAATAACAACAATAAGAAGAAAAAAAAAGTTCTTAACTTTGGCACCTTTTCCTTATAAATGAAACGATGGCATAGAACCCTAGTGTTTCAGTTCAGTGTGTGCTGTCTTGTTCCCTGCATGATAACCGCTATGCTTGACTATGGTAAAGCGTGAAAGAGGAGGAAAAGAAAATGAATATTTAAACTAAAAGGTTGTAGATTTGTGCAGAGACAAGAGAAAAGAGAGAGAAGGGGAAAGAGTTGGAGAAGAAAGCAGAGATAAAAGGTAACATGTGGACACTTGAAAGCCTTACAAACACATGCATCCAAAAAGGGTTTGGTTGACTCTTCACACTGTGATCACACACAAAGTCTCTCTCTCTCTGTATCTCTATATCTCTTTCCACTTTAACCCTTTTAAAGTCTGTGAATAGCTGTGAAATTTGCAATATACCTTTTGAATAACTTTTTGAGGATATGAAGGAAAATGAAAAGTTTAGTTATGATGGTGTTGCTAAGATGCACGGCCACCCTCTTCTCAGTGTTTCCTATAAACTGATCTTGGGACTCTCAATAATTTGACTAATTTAGCTTAATTCACTCATATGGCAACAAAATCATCACGGAAGTTTACACTTTTAAAAATGTGAATATCAGAAACTTGGGTCCATTTTCCTTTGTCCTTTTCTTCATGCATTATGAGCCTATAAGGTCTACTACCAAAATGTATGCACCACTCAGTGAATTCATTTTCTTTTACTACTCAATTCATCTTTCATAAACTTCATTTTTCTTCCATTTTGATGCTCTCCTTTCAATTAACCTGATTATCAAAATAATCACAAGAGGAAAGCTTTTTAATTCTCCATGATTTTTCTCTCCCTCCTTCCATTTCTGGTTTTATAGTACACAATATTCATTGAATGCCTTTAATTTTTAATATGTTAATTAAGCTACAATTGAGTAGGTGGATTAGAAGGAAAATATATATATTAATTGTTTTTCTCCTAAGCTGATAACTTAACTAAAATGGTCAAAATAATTAACTCTTTAGTTTAATATATGTCAAAAAAGAAAAGGAAATTTCACAAAAAACGAAAACAATTAATAATCTTTTAATTTTTTGTGAGGCACTGTTTTTCATGTATCTTTAGAGTAATTGTGTAAAAAGTTGAAAAAATATATTAAATCACATTAATTATAGGAGAATATAATTACTCCTAACTATAATAATATTTTAACTTTCTTTAAGCAAGTTAGAAAATCAAAATAAGATAATAATCACCTCAAAATATGGTTTTAATAATTGAATAAATTTAAAATTTATATAAGAATGTCATACCATTAAAGTTTATTTAAGCTATTTTGTAGTTATTAGCCACCTTAACTTATTCTTTTTTAAATACTGTAATTTAATAAGTTAGTTTAACCATTTGGATCTTTCAATTATTGACTATTAATAACTAACTAGTTTTCTATGTTATATTTGAAAAATAAATTAAAAGCTAGATGAAAAGAACAACTGATTAGAAGTCAAAACCTTACCTAGTAGCTAAAAATTATGAAATTAAGTTATTCAATTATAAGTATTTGCTGAACGTTAAATGATAATATATGATATTTTATATTAATTTAATTTAATTATATAAAATATATTTTTTTGTAAAAATATAAGCTTTTTTTATTCAATTTTATATTAATTTTAATTAAATTAATTATTTTAACTGTACTTTTTAGTTTGAATAATTTGGGACCATAACAAGATACTTATATGCTTTCTTTTTCTCATAATTATGAAATATGTGTCTCTTATATTATAATATATATATATATATATATATTATATATATATATATATATATATATATATATATATATATATATATATGTTTTCTTATATTTTGAAATATTTTTTACTAAGTTTTAAATAAATAAAAATAATATGATAGGTGCAGTATTTTTTATTGTGCTGATTATAGTACATGATAATAAAATCACATATTACTAAACAGGATAAACATTAATTTCAATAAGGAGGTTAAGACAAAACTATATAAAATATACAAAGTTAATATTTTGAAATTAATTACACACTGAAAAATATTATAATTAAAAGTAAGGGAATAAAGAAATTGATAGATATCAATAAAAATTATATAATAATAAAATAATTAAAAACGATAACGAAATACTTCAGTATAAATATTTTTACCTGTAAAATAAAAATTATTTTACAATTAGTGCAAGCAAATTAGTGCAAGCAAAATGCAAGCATCTCTCTTTCTCTTTGAATGTGTCTTTCCATATTCAACCAATATTTTATAATTTTTAATTTTTTTCCACGTAAAACAAATTAAATGCTATCATTTAAAAGAACCAGATCCTGAAAATATTCAAAAGAAGAAATATTTCACATTGTATATTTATTATTCTCAACATTTCTCTGACTAGTTTTAATATAGACAATTACTGAATTAACTTAATTTTAAAATTTGTTATTTACCTATATGTGGATTGGTGTAATTTTTTTTGTTTACATGGATAAGTGGATTTTAATAGAAGTAAAAAAAAATGCTATCTTTTTTATACATTGATAGAATTGTACAATATTATAAGAAATTGCATCAATTACCTTTTATTATATAAAATAAGTAATTATGAGTTAATTTAAATGGTTATGATAATTTACCAATTTTTATTCTATAATTATTTATCAAATAAGGAATATTTTACTCAAAAACAAAAGATAATAAATAATTCTTTCCGAACACCTCTTATAAATATATTAGATATTAAATGGCATTATTTATTTGAGAATATACTCACAACTACCAACATTAATATTTTACTTCAATACCTAAGTAAGTAAACATTTCACCTTTCATTTAACAAATAAAAGAACTATTTATTACTGTTAATTAAACTGTTTCAATTCTTTAAAAAATTGTATTAAATTTTATTTTATAATATAACACTAATTATTCAATGATTTCATTATTTTTTTTTAAATATAGTATGCTTTTAAAAAAATTGTTAACTTCTACTTGTTTTTATTAATTAGAAAGTTCTTTTAATCATATAAGAGCTTTTGATATAAAAGTACTTTTTTAATAATATGTAATGTTTTCAAATATTGCTTTAGATAGCTTTTTTTTTTTTTCAAAATATCTTCAAACATATATCTCCTTTTTTTTTTCTTTTGCCTTAAATATTTATAAATTACTCTTTTTATCATGAGAGAGAATTTTATTGATTTTTTCATTACAATTTTTCCATTTATTTATTGACTCACATTATTGGCTCAATTCTTTCACATATTCCTTTATTTATTTTAAATTTTCTATTTTTACATATTTATATATATTTTTAATATGACAATGTTAATTTTTACATATTTTGTGTGTTTATTTTTGTAAATAAAATAAACTCTTCTATAAATTTTATCTTGTGTATTATAAATTTTTGTATTGTTTGATGTTTTAAATATTTTATGTTGTTTTATCACTTATATTTGTTTAAATGTGTGAAATAAGTGAACAAAATATAATTGTGATAAAGGAAAATAAATTAGAACTCCAAAAAAACATAATTGAATAACAAAAGATGGATTTTAAGGTTACCTAGGAAACGTGATTGGATAACAAAAGATAGATTTTAAGACTACCTACATGGAATGGAACGACAAAAGAATCACTCTCATTCTTACAAAGTCATAAAACAAACACAGTTTCAAGGTTGCAACTCGCTGGGTGAAACAACATAGCAGTTGGGCACCACCACTCTCGTTGGGCGAGAGAAGAAACTGAATGGACAATCCAAGCTAGGATAACCAGTGACGAGCAATGTCAGTACCAAGCGGTGATGAAATGGCACCAAGCGACTCAAAGTCATAGAGCCCATTTTCTTATTTTAACATAGGTTAAACTCCTTTGTCTCTATTTTCGTGAGTTTTTCCCAGTTCAATCTCCATTTTATTAGAATTCCCAATTTATTTCTAAAAAGTGCTAATTTGAATCAATTGGATCCTGCCGTTAAATTGGGTTAACGGGGTTAAGTATTTAATGAGGTGAGAGATTGACGTGGCAAGTTTTTTAAACGTGGCATACTGAAACCTTTATACGTGGCATTTCTTAAAAGATTAGATTTTAATAATAGGGTTTCTGAAATGGGATTTAATAATAGAATTTCCAGTAAGTCGATTTTTCCCTCGTCGGTGCTTCTTCTTCCGGTGAATCACCACTTCCAATGGATCCTCCACGCGCCAATCACATCGCGGTTTGGTGCGATCTGGTGGAGACCCTCACTCTCCAGAGATGCGATCTGGTGCGGCCAGGCGCAGATAATGGGTCTGGTACTCCAGATTAAGTGGAAGGGTCCCAAACTCACACTTAGCTCGCTGCGTAGAAACGCCATAGCCAGGAACTTCACTAGAGAGGCGCAACCTCAACCTGACGACGTTGTTATCTGGGACGAGGAGTTTCACACGCTCTGCACCCTTTCTACCTACAAAGACAATGCCTTTCACCCCTGGGAAATCGCTTTCTCTCTCTTCAATGTCTGTCTCTCTTTCTCTCCCTCCCTCTCTATTTCGTGTTTTTTTTTCTCTGCTACAATTTTAGAATTTTAGATTATTTTTGTTTTGGGTTTTTTTTTCATATCTCGTAAATTGATTTTTTATTTTATTTTAAAGAAGTGATTTTGGGGGTTGATTGGAAAAAGGGTGTTTTTCTTTTTCCTTTTCTTGTTTTTGTGAATTATTATATAATTATAATAATAATTGTTGTTGTTACTTTAAATTTGATTTTAATTGGTTAGTTCTGTGTTGCAAGGTTTGAATCAAAGGTCAAAGACTAAGGTTCCCGTGGTCGGAATTGCGACTTTGAATCTGGCTGAATTTGCATATGTGGTTGATCAAAAGGATTTTGATTTAAACATTCCTATTACAGTTTCTGGTGGTGTTGCGGAGTCCTCTCCTTTACATAGTGTATGTTTATCATCCACGATGTTTTAGTTGATTTTGTCGAGAGACTGGTGGTTGTTTTCTTAATCAACATTGTGCCTTTGTGTTTGTTGTTTTTGTGTTCATAATGGTAGCTTTTGGTTGTTGCTTGTAGATATCGATTAGTTTGGAAGAGAGCACAGAAATAGTTCATAAATCAATAGTGTCTGTGCCTTCTTCACCCGTGGTTCAGCCAGGAGAAACTACCTTGGTTGAGAAAGATGAGCTTTCGACCTGCAACCGGAGGCATCGCCAGTCAGAAGCGTCACTAGCCCGTTTCCTTCCTCTTCCAAAACGGGTTCACCAAATCGCGAGAAACGCTGAACCGTGCATCTACCACTGGCACTCCAACCACCATTTCCACTCTTCTTTACCCATTGCTTCCTTCTTCTCTCTCTATTGTTTCTCAGGCTGGGAAGATAGGATTTTTGGATGGTGCTTGTAATGGAGGATGTTTTTTTTTAATCAAACATTTTTCACGTTAAACTTAGGAAATTACATGTAACATCCTGCTTATGCCACGTTTAAAAATCATGCCATGTCAACATCCCAACTCATCAAAAATTTAGCTTCGTTAGCCCAATTTAACGGCAGGGGCTCAATTGACTCAAATTAGCACTTTTTAGGACTAAATTGGGGATTCTAATAAAATGGGGATTGAACTGAGAAAAACCCACGAAAATAGGAACAACTAAAGGAGTTTAACCTTTAACATATGGTGTCAAACATTTCTAAGGTGTCGTCAAGAGGTATCAATGCTAAGTTTTTAAAATTGGGTATTTAGTCATGTTCTTAGCAAGGATTTTTTGGGATATTCCTTATTTTACGTGAAGAAAAACACCTTGTGTGCTTAGGAGAAGCTCTTTGATGTTATTAAGGATGCTGAGAAATTTTGTCTTCTCCTTTTTCGGTCTCATTATTCACCCAACGAGGTTTTTCTCTTTTTATATTTGAGAGGAGGATGAACTATGAATAAAAAATGGACATGTAAAGGAGAGACGCAATTGGAGTGTGGAGTAGATGCTAAGAACCTTGGGAAAAAGCTTTCAACTTTTATATGGTTTCAATTTCTTTTCTATCTCTTTAATTTATAAACCCTGAGTTCTTCATCATGGAGAGATAACCCTATTATTTATATTAGATGTAATAAGTTCATTTCTTATATATTTTGTGATGTTAATATAATATATATATATATATATATATATATATATATATATATATATATGTATGTATATTAAAAACATTGGCCCACAGTAAGAACAGTAGAGACCCAAAAGCCTTTAGTCCAGAGACGAGAAATTAAAGTTTCACTAGAAACTTCTTCCCATCAGAACACTGATGAGGCTTAACGTTGTGCGACATGCGATAGCGAAAGGGATGTGTGTTTTCCAATGTGCTACTCCGGCGAGGCAGACAATGACACTGCTTGGTCAGAAAAGAATGGCAGAGTCCAGGGAGAGAAGACACGACGATAAAAGGTAAGAGAAAAACTGTATTTTTTTCATAATTACCATAGTGTTTGTTTCGAAGCTGTCTTTTTCTTACAAAAGAAAATACTGAAACCCCAGTTATATAGGGTTCCGGTGAGTACAATAAAAGCACCGGGATAATTAATTATCCCTAACAGAAAAACAGAAACACTAAATAGAAAACCCTAAAACATAAAAAGATGCTCTAAGGAGCAATAATGACAAAACAGAAACATTAATAGCCTCCCTTCAAGCTGGATGGTGGATATTCACTAATCCAAGCTTGGGAATGATAGATCTGAAACGAGTACGATGAGGGAACTTGGTGAAGACATCGGCAAGTTGCTCCTCTGAACGAATGGGTAGACGCAAAAGTTGGCTTGAATCTTCTAACGCATGACGTGACAATCCAACTCAATGTGCTTGGTCCGCTCATGAAAACTTTGGTTATGAGTAATGTGCCTGGCGGTGTTATTGTCACACTAGAGAACAACTGTAGTAATAGGTTGACTTGAAGGTCTTGAAGAAGGTAGTGCAGCCATTGCATCTCACAAACGGTGGTAGCAAGGGCACGATACTCTGCTTCAGTAGAGGATCTCAAGACAGTGCTTTGTTTCTTTGACCTCCTCGAAACAAGGGAGGACCCTAGGAAAACACAGTAACCAGTGGTAGATCTTCTGGTGTTAGGGCATGCGGCCCAATCCGAATCACTAAACCCTTTAATTTGTATTTTTGAATCAGCAGCAAAGAAGAGCCCTTCTGAAGGATTGGATTTAACATATCTTAGGATATGTTGTAAGGCCTGATAGTGATAGTTAGTAGGTTCCTGCATGAATTGGCTTAACATATTAACAGTAAAACATAAGTCAGGTCTAGTATTAATGAGGTAGAAAAGCTTCCTTATCAATCTGCGATAGATACAGGGATTATCCATATAATTCTCTGTCTTGTACAAAGAGTTAGTGTTGCTCAAAAAGGGGGTAAAGCATGGCTTGCTTCCCAGCATTCCTGTTTCTTCCAAGATGTCAAGAACGTATTTTCTTTGACAAAGGTGTATCCCCTTTTTCGACTTAGCAACCTCAAATCCCTTGAAATATTTGAGTTCTCCCAGATCCTTTATCTGGAATTGGTGATGCAAAAGAGTCTTCATGTAGGTGATCTCACTCATAAAGTTTCCTGTTAAAACAACATCATCTACATACACAAGTAAAGTCGTGAAATTTGTAGGGGTTTTCTTGATAAAAAGGGATGATCAAACATGGATTGAACATAAGTTAGCATAAATAAGAAAGGTGGATAGTTTCTCAAACCATTGTCTGCTAGCCTGTTTTAAGCCATATAGAGATTTAGTTAGCTTGCAGACTAGTCCCTTTGTGTTAGTGTCTAAACCAGGGGGAGGATCCATGTAAACATCCTCATTTAGGTCTCCATGCAAAAAAGCATTGTCCACATCTAGTTGATGTAGAAACCAACCTTTTGAGGCAGCAAGAGCAAGTAAAAGTTTAACAGAAGTGAGTTTAGAAACGGGAGAAAAAGTATCTAAAAAATCTATTCCCTCTTGTTGGGTGTAACCTTTAGCAACCAATCGGGCTCTATACCTTTCCACAGTACCATCAGCATTGTGTTGTACCTTGTAAACCCATCTACATCCAATGGGTTTCTTTCCAGGAGGAAGTTGGGTTAAATACCAAGTATCATTATCTTGTAGGGCTTTGATTTCCTTCTTCATGCTTCAGTCCATTCAGGACTATTTTTAGCCTCATCATAGGAGTTGGGTTCCTTGCTAGCAGTTATGGCAAGGGTGTACCTTAAATGTTTATCTGACAAAGAATCATAGGATAAAGTATTAGTGATAGGGTAAGGAGTTTCCAAACCATTTTTGACATATAAAGAGGCAGATGAGGACTGATCAGTCTGATGGATATAGTCCTTTAAGTACTCAGGGGTTCTCTTTATTCTGCTAGACCTTCTCTGATTATTTCCTTGTTCTTCATCAACAAGATTAGTGCTTTCGGCACTGATATCAGTGCTTTCAGTAGGATTTTGGTCATTCTTTCTATTCTCAGCAAAGTTCTTCTCATGGCTGCAGGACAAATTATCAACAAACAATATATTGTTTTCATTGTAATTGCAGTTATCTTCATTACCCGGCTTATTCTTATAGGGAAAAATGTCTTCATAAAAGATGACATTTCTACTAATGAAAATTTCCCTAGTATTGAGGTCAAGAACAATGTATCCCTTCACTCCATTTTTGTACCCTAGAAATAATCCCTTTCTAGCTCTAGAATCTAGCTTGTTTCTGTTACTTTCGTGAGTTGAAGCAAAACATAAGCAACCAAAAACTTTTGGATCAAGATAAGTTGGGGGATTATTATGCAGTACATCATAAGGGGTTTTACCTTTAATAACAGTAGAGGGAAGTCTATTTATCAAATATATGGCACAGGACAAGGCTAAGACCAATAAGCATAGGGAATGCTACACTGAAAAATCAGACTGCGAGTAACATTTAGTATGTGTTGGTGTTCACGCTCCACAACAAAATTTTGATGTGGAGTTTCAACACAGCTTCTTTGATGCTCAATGCCATAAGAATCATATATGTTGGAACAATTAAACTCAAGACCATTGTAAGTCCTAATGATTTTAACAATTTTATCAAATTGGGTCTTAATTTTTATGATAAAAGCTTGCAAAAGCTCTCTAGTCTGGCTTTTATTATGCATAAGAAAAGTTCAAGTGTGTCTACTACAGTCATCAACAATAGTGAGAAAGTATTTATGTCCATGAACAGAAGCAATGGAAATGGGACCCCATATATCACAATGTATGATATCAAAACAATTAGGAGACAAAGAATTATTATTAGGAAATGACAATTTATGTTGCTTAGCATAATAGCAAATGTCACAAGTATCACTAGAAACAGTTTGAACATAAGGAAAAGTCTTGCATATTCTTTCAATAGTTTTGTTCCCAGGATGGCCTAGCCTATAATGCCACAGATTTATATTTACATTCTCATAGGAGAAAACATAACTAGGTGACGAATTCCTTCCAAAAGATTGCAGGTAGTAAAGCCCTTTGTACACATTAGCACATCCAATCATCCTCAATGTAGAAATGTCCTGAATTTGACACATCTTAGAGGAAAAAGTTAGTGTGCAGTTTATATCTCTAGTTAGGCTTTGGATAGATATAAGGTTAAAAGAAAAATCAGGTATGTGCAGAACATTAAAAAATATGAAATCTTTAGAAAACTGTACAGTTCCTGCATAATGGGCTGTTACAATTGAATTATTTGACAGTTTAACAGATATAGGTTTGATTTTACTGAATGTCATGAATTGATTCTTGTCATGGGTCACATGATTTGTGGCCTCTATGTCTATAATCCAAGATAATATACCTTTTCTGTCTGTTGTAGTATCTTTGTGTATTTGGCTGATGACATGAGAAGAACTGTCAGCCTTTTCAAGCATTTGCAGAATTTTCTACATCTGTTCAGGAGTGAAAGAGCTTTGAACAAAATTAACATTGTTCTGTTGATCGGTCTGTGTCACAGTGGTGGTAGAGTAAGCATTTGAAGAACCACATTCATTTTGTCCCATACCATTTTGAGTATTATTATCGTTCTTGTTGTACCATGATGAATATC